ATATATATATATATATATATACATACAGAGTGCTCGAAGATGATATCGATCGATATCTTAGAAGATGCTTGGATGAAATTCAGAAGATGGAAGATAAGATTCGTTTATATTATATAATTAAAAAAAGAAATATTCAATTTTTTTTCAACCGATAAAAAAATATTGAAACGGTTACCTTACTATACGATACATACATATATATATATATAAGACGTGTGAAATATAAACATGGGCGAAATATTTTTAAGATGAAATATTTTTAATACGAATATAGAGATATATTTGTCCATTGTGTGATTCAGAGAATGGGATTTCCAACTCGAATCTAATTGGAAGTCCCCTCGTGGAATTCTGGGATTTTAACTAGTAGTTCAAGGTATATCATAATCGAAACGATGTTCACAACGGACTATTTATTGAAAATCATGCCATTTCCGCTACGTGCCCATTCCGGCTTGTCATTGCCGTGACGTAGGTGGAAATCTCGGGATCATTCAATGAAAAAAAGGATCTAACGATTATATTACTTTCAATGGTAATGTTTCTTAGTTGCAATTTTTTATTGTCAATACGTGATCCGAAGGCTGTTTCTCATTTATCTATCCATCTGATCTTTAATTTAATTTTATTGAGAAATGAACAGAATCGCATACGTTGAATTTTTTAATATATTCTCGGATTATAATATATTCTTCGTCCCAAGTTAAACCAGAGATATGCATTTTTTATTTCCATACGTTCCTTCTTTAAATTTGATGAACTGATACCTGAAATACTGACGATATTTTTTTCACGAATAAAATTAATTAATAATCGCTCGAATCGTGAATTATTCAACTTTTCTTCGTTTTAATCGTCAATGAATATAATTGTACATAATAACGCGACATGCGCCATTATTATTAAAAAAAATTATTAAAAAAAAAAAGGATAATAATTTACCAAGAGGAGATAATCCGTTGCTCGTATCGTGTCACGTCTTTGGAGTGAAAATTACACGTTTTCACGGTCCATTTGACGATAGGAATCTTGAGATCGAAATCGATCTTTCGGATGGAAGAGATGGAAAGATCATGCCGTTCTGAGATTATAGACACCTCGAAGATTTATTATTTTTTTTTTTTGCCTTTCGATATAATAATAATAATAATAATAATATCAATCGGTTCTCCTCTTCTTCAACTAATTTGCATAGTTGCGGAAAAACGATCTATGTGACGATTCTTAGCTACTGTTGCTATTTTTATTTCTTCAAAAATGTCAAAAGAAGTTATCTTCATATTTTTTTTCAAAACTCAAGAATCTTTTTTCTTCTTCTACAAAATTCAAAGATTAATCGATGATCGATAGGATAAAACGATGACTAATAATGTTTTCTTCTTCTTCTTCTTCTTCTTCTTCTTCTTCTTCTTGTTCTTCTTCTTCTTTTTCTTCTTCTTCTTCTTCTTTTGCTCACGAATATTTTTAGAAACATTCTCTATGAGCAGTCGTTGAACTTGACCTTGAGGTTTTCAGAGAATATAGAATAGAAAAAAATGAAAAAAAGAGTTCTCGATCGAGGACAACGTGTGATAGATTGAATGATCTATAAATGAAAGATACGTCAGAAATTAGGAGAATGATAAATTGTCCTAAAATGAGAACAATAAACTTTTTACGAAAGAGCCCGAGTTTTGGAAGCGTAATGCCGTCATTCTTTCGCAAAAGATTTCGATATATCTGCTACTAGAACGTGTATCCTTGCCTTTAATATTTGTGATTACGTCAATACCATTTTGGGTTTTCGAGAGAGAGAGAGAGAGAGAAAAACTAGTTGTTGAAGATAAAAACGAATTGATTGAACAGGAATTTTTAGGTAGCGTAAAAAATAAAAAAGGATAAAGAAGAAGAAACATTTTTTTTAATTTCTTCCAATATAATTAATAACGACTATAAGAATAAAATTTAATGGATGTTATCCATTAAAAAGATGAGTTTAAAGCATTTTTAAAATCAATTCAGAATCACTTTTTCTTTCTCTGAATCTAACGATCGTGAAATTTCTTGACCTAATTATATCGATATGGATGGGGGTCAAGAGATTGCAAGAGACGTCATAATTGCAATCATCGCATCGCATCGTTCACAACAAAAATAAGCGATTATCGCTCCGTGGATTTTCCTTCGTAATTTTCAATCTCTATTTTATCGTATTACGAATCTTCGTATCCTATTTTTACATAATATTTACGATCATCGAAAAAGATCTTGCAAAGATTCTCAAATATTTTTTCCCATTCTTCACAGAGAAATACCGCTAATCAGAATTTTTTCCTCTATGTTAATGTAATTACGTCAACCGATCATTTACGCTTGCATTATTTACCGATCATAAAATTTTACAGAATTATCTAATAAACGATAACCGATGGAGACAAAACAAACAAATCGCGTTTAGAATAATTTAATCTAGAATAATTTATCGATCATCTCGCAACTGACACTCCAACTTTTCTGCCGCCAACAAACGGTTCTTGGAAACGAAACAATCCATTTCTTCGTTTCATCAATTCCGAAACTTCCAATCATTCCTGTGCTTATTTACCAGTCGGATTGCAAAGTATTACTTGTCCAAGATGCCTTCGATAACCGGATGTTTGCTTCTATATCTCCTTTTTTTCCAAGCTTCCTACCTTCTCCTACGCAACTTACTCATAGATATTAATCGCTTCGTCGATCGATCGATGAAACCATCGAGTTAAAATTATAAATTGTCAAACGATATTTCGCTCCCAATTGTCGATCTCGATCAATTTTTAATCAATATTATATTTTTGCGTATTCGATTTATCTCCAGATAAATTTATTCTCTCCCCCTACTTTTATTTCTTACTAATTATTCATATCTTCAATTTTTTATTATGCTTATTTCGAATTAACTTCCAGTCTCGAATCTGGTTACATAACTATATTATAATGTCAAACAATCTCCACGTTCTCGACTACTATCGACAGATGACACGCACACACGTAACTGCACACAAATATGATATTCCTTATTATGTACATTGGAATATGATGACATTTATGCTCAATTACGAAACCGATTCTTCCAACGAACAATATACCGTAAATATACCGAAATATTTTTTTTATTATCCTTCGAAAGATGATCGATCTTAAGTTACGAATCTTTGATCAAGAGCATCGAATAAAACGATACCATTCTCGGTCCATCCGATAATAATAAAATTAAATTTGGACGTGGCACCCTCCGAAACACTTCTCTTCCGAAATTAAAACTAATTTATCTCTTAATTAATGACGAAATTCTCTTCAAACAAATAATTCGTGAGTCTTCTTCGATAATTTTGAAAAATTTTGAAAAGTCGAACGATCGAGTCTGGGTCGAGGAAATCCATTGATTTAGCGATTGGAATTCCAATTCCAAGAGAAATAATCCATCGCATGGAAAAATGCGAAACAATTCGAATTAGACCTTGACAGTGTCGGGTCCCCGGCGAAAGTTTTGTCCACCGCCTCGGAGATCACCGGTCGATCCGGTCTCTCGTACCCTCGTTTCGTGGAAAGCGTCGACGATTTTTGGAAGATCGGCATTTCGGGATCGGAAACGTGACCGCGGAAAGCTACGTTTCGCGTGGGAGAGGGGAGAAAAATCGACGGGGAACGATGATCCGCGATGAGTGACGATCAATTATTGACCGACGTAAAATCCACCGGTGCCTCGTATATAAGTTGTTGTCTCGTTCAACAGCTTCAGTCGTTCTTCACTCTTCGGCCACACCGATTATCGATCCGAGGCAGCGAGTTTTCGAGAGACAGATAGAAGATAAGTTCGTTTCGTGGATATTCGTGTAATATATATAATATATATATATATATATTCTCGAATTGCGCACAGTGTGAGAAAAAATGCGGTATCTTGAGTGTTTCGTGCCGTTGATGGTACTATCGTGCCTCGCAAGTTCGTTCGCGGAACCTGGTGAGTCTGTTTCTTATTTTTGAATTGACTTCCGGTTGAAATGGTGGATACCGGTGATGGTGACACGTTGATTTACCTCTCTTTATTCTTTTCGATACGAAAAGAAATGTTAGAAACGAAATTAAGATCAATTCTTCTCGCGGTGTGTCTTAATTTTTAACAGAGATTTTTATTTTATTTTTTTTTTTTTCAATAACCTTGCTAGAGTTGTTTCAAGCAAGTTGATTTCGTTTTTATTTACAGGTGTCCTCTTAGATCTGGCTAAGGATCATCAAAAGCGCGTGGCAAGTTTGCTGGACCCGCTAGGATTGTTCCACAAGAAGGATCAAAGCTCGAGCTCGTCGCACTCGTACGGGAACCACCTACAGCTAGGACCACTTTCCTTTTCGAGCAGCTTGGCCAGCTCTTCGGCCACGGCCGAAGGCAACGGTGCTACCTCCGTTGCCAAGGCGAATTCTCAAGCCTTCGGCCAAGGCTCTGCAAAAGCTGACGCCAGCGCAATAGCCAACGCTCAAGGTACTCAGACATTCACAAATATTATTAATTATCGGCGCGATATCGATTGTTATAACATTCTTCTGGATGATCCCCTCGAAAATATTCCCGTGGAATATTTTTCTAACGATCGAATCTTTTAGATTGAAATTTTACAGAGAGAGAGAGAGAGAGAGAGAGAGAGAGAAATCTCCTAAATTATCAGTAATCGGATCTTTTCTTCGAATCGAATTTTCTTTGGACGTAAATCACATCGGTTCCACATTACATTCCAGATTATTCAGATTCTAACATCGGTCACAACTACTACTACGTGCCGACAGACGTGCAACAATACGACGTCCCCGGTGGTTCTCAGTCGATCACGAATCCGAATGATGGTTATAACGCTGCGAATACCGTTGCGAGCGCCGCTGCAAATGCTAATGCAAACGCGAACTATAATGCGAACAGAGGTGCGAACTCGAACGTGAACGCCAACGCGAATTCGAACGCCGTTTCTTATACCGGTGCAACGCCGACCAATTATTATTCTCCCGGATACGATCTATCCGATACCGGTGCCAATGCAAATACGAATCTTAAAAGTAACAGCGCGAACAATGGCGCGGGAACGCTCGACGGCTATTACACGGCTCCTGAAAGTTTTCGAGGTAATGCAGCCGCAGCAGCAAGCGCGGATGCGAGAGAGAATTCTATTAGCGGAGCGGGATCATCCGATAATTATTATGCTCCTGGAGGAGCGTGGAGCGATGGTGGTGCGATCGCGGATGCAAAGACGAATATCGTCGATGGTGTAACGAGTGGCTATAAACCTGGAATCATGAAAAGCAACGTGGGCCCGATCGACAATTCGAAATCGAACGGTGGCGTGGAATTACCATATGGATATTATCCTTCGGGAACTCGAAGCAACGCGGTGACCGGTAGCAAGGTATAAATCATCGTCGTTTCTCAAATCAAATCGATTTTCTAAAATAATTTCGATAATCCTCTCGTATCGAGATGGTGAAATAGAGGTTGAAATCCTTTGCTCGAATTTCCTCCTCCTCCTCGTCATCATTATCATTATCATCGAAGGGCTGAAATAATTGATAACGAGATGCCTCCGGTTCAATTCACACAGATTCCTTATCGTCCTCACGACGATGAAGAAACGGTGGTAGTGATCGTAGATCCTCCACCGGTCCACAGGCCACCATTGGACAGGCCGCCATTCGGTAGGCCACCACCATTCGGTAAGCCACCACCATCATTCGGTAGGCCACCACCATTCCGTAAGCCGCCATCACCATTCGGCAGGCCACCTTTCGAGAGATATCCACAACCTGATCACGGCCCTGAGACAATCAAAGTGATCGTGATCGAAGAGCCGACATATCATAGCCAAGGTGAGCTGCCTCGAACGGATGTTGGATGCTGATTTGCACGTGTGACTAAAGAACATTGCTTCACGTTGAAGAAGAAGATTGTCGATCGCAATCGCTATGTCGCATCGATGATTTAGATATCCGTTGTTTGAATAATCGACGGACGATGTGTAAAATGGGCACGATGATACATCACATTGATTGCACTTGCGAGAAACTATTCTTTGTCGTTTCAAGGAGAGGATTGTATTATTTCTTCGTGTAAATACATCCGAACGATACTAATATACTCGAGATATATGTACAACTTGTGTGAATTGTTATTAATCTAAACAGATCGAACAGGTTTCGTTCCCTTTTCAACATTGTGTACGTTTAACATTTAACACGAGAACCCATCATGATACTTAACTGTTGTGTAATTATTTTTCAACGGCACGTTTACGTAGATCTTGTTTCCAATAGCACAGATATATGTATTCAAGTCAACAGCATGTATATTTACTTTTTATAAATTTATTATAAATTTTCCTTGGTGTTCATAGATATTATTTTTTTCAGCAGGAGCGAGTAATGGAAAGGGTCAATACGGTCAACCGATCGACTATCCGGTTGGAGGCTATCAGAATGGTTATGGAGGAGCTAACGCAAACGCCAATGCTAATGCCATCGCTATTGCAAATGCAAATGCCAAAGCAAACGCAGCAGCTAACGCAGGAGCTAATGCAGGAGCTAATGCAGGAGCTAATTCCATCTCTGGAGCGAACGGCTACCCTGTTCAGGAATCGGGATACTATCCTGGAAATGCTCCAACCACTTCCATCGGAACGAACAATCCTTTCTTGACTGGATCTCAAGGAACCGGAGGGGCTAACGCAGGCGCTAATGCAGGAGCCAACGCAGGTGCTCTTGGAAACGCGTATCCAGGAACATCAAGGCCAGGAAGTCAGGGTGCGGGTAGTTATCCAGGTGGCTCGTACACTGCTGGATCGGGCAATCCTTTTCTAACTGGTGGACAAGGTCAAGGAAATGCAGGTGCCAATGCTGGTGCCAACGCCGCTGCAAATGCTGCTGCTAATGCTGGTGTTATCTCTCAAGGACAAATCGGAGCACAAAATCCTTTCCTCAATCCTGGATTCCAACCTACTGCAAGTCCTCACGGACTTGAAGAATACGTAATTAATAATGAAAAAAGTGGAAAACAGAGTGGAGGTAGCCCCATTCCTACTACTTATCCTGGCCAAGGAAGCAAACCAGGAAGCTATGGAATGAACGTACCCACGATCGTTGGATCAGGAGCAAATGCAGGAGCCAATGCAGGAGCTATCGCCAATGCTAATGCTGGTGCGAATGCAGGTGGATACGGTCAGCCTGTTAAAGAAAGTCCTGTAATTATTCCTGCTAATCCAAGTACAAATTATGAGGGCGGAGCTGGATCAGGTAGCGTATTCGAAAATACGGGAAGCGTATTTGGAAATTCTGGATCAGGTAGCAATGGCTATGGTGTTCCTACAAAGGGTGTTCCTTATCAAACTGGATTAGTTTCTGGTGGAGCAAATGCTGGAGCGAATGCAGGAGTAAATGCTGGAGGATCTGGTGGCTATGGTGTACCAACAAAAGGTGCTCCAGTCTTTGGAACGTCTGGACCAGCTTTTGGAACTGGTGGCGCAAATGCTGGAGCGGATGCAGGAGCAAATGCGGGAGGTAGCGGACCTGGTGGTTATGGTGTACCCACAACAGGAGCTCCAGTCTTTGGAACATCTGGCCCAGCTTTTGGACCTGGAGGAGCAAATGCCGGAGCCCCCGCTGGAGCAAATGCTGGAGGTAGTGGGCCTGGTGGTTATGGTGTACCACCAAAAGGAGCTCCAGTCTTTGGGACATCTGGACCAGCTTTTGGAACGGGTGGCGCAAATGCTGGAGCGGATGCAGGAGCAAATGCGGGAGGTAGCGGACCTGGTGGTTATGGTGTACCCACAACAGGAGCTCCAGTCTTTGGAACATCTGGCCCAGCTTTTGGACCTGGAGGAGCAAATGCCGGAGCCCCCGCTGGAGCAAATGCTGGAGGTAGTGGGCCTGGTGGTTATGGTGTACCACCAAAAGGAGCTCCAGTCTTTGGGACATCTGGACCAGCTTTTGGAACGGGTGGCGCAAATGCTGGAGCGGATGCAGGAGCAAATGCGGGAGGTAGCGGACCTGGTGGTTATGGTGTACCCACAACAGGAGCTCCAGTCTTTGGAACATCTGGCCCAGCTTTTGGACCTGGAGGAGCAAATGCCGGAGCCCCCGCTGGAGCAAATGCTGGAGGTAGTGGGCCTGGTGGTTATGGTGTACCACCAAAAGGAGCTCCAGTCTTTGGGACATCTGGACCAGCTTTTGGAACGGGTGGCGCAAATGCTGGAGCGGATGCAGGAGCAAATGCGGGAGGTAGCGGACCTGGTGGTTATGGTGTACCCACAACAGGAGCTCCAGTCTTTGGAACATCTGGCCCAGCTTTTGGACCTGGAGGAGCAAATGCCGGAGCCCCCGCTGGAGCAAATGCTGGAGGTAGTGGGCCTGGTGGTTATGGTGTACCACCAAAAGGAGCTCCAGTCTTTGGGACATCTGGACCAGCTTTTGGAACTGGTGGAGCAAATGCTGGAAGCAAAGCTACTGCTATAGCAAATGCTGGAGCAAATGCTGGATCTGGATCTGGATCCGATGGTTTTAATATTGGACCATCTAAAGGTGGAGCAGATTTTGGAACATCTGGACCAGGTTTTGGTACTGGCGGATCAGGAATTGCTGGTGCAAATGCCAAAGCTGATGCTGTTGCAAATGTTGGAAGCAGTAATGGTAATGGTGGTTACGACGGCTTCATATTTGGAGATGCATCCGCCAGTGCTAGTGCCAAGGCTCAGGCTTCCGCTTCTGCTGGATCAAATGGATCAGGAAGTACGTTTATATATTTATAATTAAGCTAATCTTGTTGCTTTCGCTTCGAATCTCATCCAATTTGAGCTGCATTTGCTACAAATGTATTTAACACCTTATCGAAAAGCATCCATTTATAATTGGCAAGTCAATTGCCATTTACATGCAGGAAAAAGCTTAAATCTCACATATTCTAAAAGCAACAAGTGTCTAATTTCGTTTCATCGCATATTTTTTTCATCCCATGTAACTTGTTCATTCATTATCTGCTATTGCTTTCATAGGCGACAGTGTGTTATCCATGGCCGATGCAATCCAATTAGGTGTGGTCCTAATTAAATGATTTCGTCTCCATTCCTCAGGCTCAAACGCGATTGCAAACGCGAATTCGAACTCGTTCAGAGGATTTTCTGGTAGCAATGCGTCCGCCAAATCGTCCGCCAAGTCGTCAGGTTTTGGAAATGGATCAGCCAATGCGAATGCACAAGCATCCAGCAAAGCGTCTTCGGGATCCGGCAACAGTTCCGCCTCCAGCTCTGCATCCGCCAACGTGGATACGACGGGTTTGCTCGTCTTCAGGGATTAATCGTCCAAACATCCGGATATACTCGTTATTTAATTAATTTTGCTCTCTCGAATTATTTAATCGTGGAAATGTTACGAACGCCATGGACCGTGCCATCACTCTAAACTCGATTTTTAGGATACCCTACCGATTAGCTTGTAGGATCTGAAACACGTCAATGGAATTAAGAGTCAAAGATACATCGATTTAAAACGATTATCGACGCGAACATCGATCGACGCAAGGCAATTATCCATGCTGGATCTCATGGCAATGTAATATCGAAATTCGTAATTACTTTACAACTCGATGTGTTGATATGTAACTAATTTTATTGCGCTTTATCTTTAAAAATGAAAATTAATAATTTATAGTGAATGAATAACGAATGAAATTTTATCGGAGTCGAGCATTCGAAAAATAAATTTATTATCATTTGTGATAATATTCTTGCCAATACACGAAGCGTAGGAAGCATTCTCCGTTTAAGAAAATCCTCCGAAATCCTTTTTTGTCTTTTTTTCCAACGTTAATATCGTATATTAAACTTATCTTCGTTAATTTGTTCACTTTGTCGAAGCGTCAACCCATTTAAAAATTTTTTAAAGTGACTTCCATCGTGTTTTATCGTATAAGTGGATAATACTCGATATATGATTAGCGTTTTTTCCGATTTTATAATAGATATTTAAGATTGAACGTTATCTTAGTTCTATAAAACGATGTAGCATGTAATTAAAAAACTTTGTACGTAATTACGTTAAAATTATATTTAACGTAACGAGCGTAGCTATTTTAATCTTAAATCGTGATAGTAATACGAACGAGATAATGTTTTTTTTTTTCTATCTTTATACATAGCATCCAATCAAATATCAAATTTGCGATATAGTATTTTAATTATCGACTAATAAAAAAGGCATTTTTATATTAATTTATAAACGAATACGAATAAATACGAAGGCGTATGATCTTCGTACGACTTCTATTCGCAATAAATTCAATTATACTTATTTCTCTTTCAAAACAATTCAATTCTTCTCCAAACTTTTTCCATATAAACAATAATTTACGTACGAGTAATTAGTTGTTGTAAATGTAAAGAACCGGATATCATGTCGTACAAACACAGTCGAAGAAACGAAGTAAAAAATCAAAAATATGTCGGTATATTTGTCTCCTCTTATTAATATCTGTGCACGCGAATTCTCATAATTTGCGCGTAATTACCGACAATTGTTTTTTAAATTAAGTATCATTTATTTTACGACTTCCACGGAGTTTCCATCTATTATTCTAGCTTATCATACTTCACGCTCTTACGCAATATAAATATTATTGAATATTTATTTTTATTTCCGTCATTAAAGCGTATAAGAACTCATAATAAAATTTTAAATTCTCTCTTTTTTTTTCCTTTTTCTTTTCCTTTTTTATATCGGCGGATATCTTTGACCTTAGTTCATTAAAAAACTATTAGATAAGCGTAACTGGAATCGTTAAGTGACAGAATTACAAAATCTTTCGTTTGATTTATTTTAATCCATTTTTAAATACACGTCTTTTATTAAGTAAATCATTTACTCATCAAATTTGTTGAGATTCTTACGTAAAACGAGTTGCATATTTTACTTTTCTTATCAATTCGTGTAATACGATAATTTTTACAAATTTCTCTTAAGAAACTATATTCGTCGATGTGTAAATACGCTTGTTTCATGGTTCATAATGCTTATGAAACATTGACAAACGGCAACATTGAACGACGATCATAAATAACTATTATTGGTGACTCTGTCACTTCTTTATTTTCCCATTACACTTTCCGCCATCATGTTCATTATATATTGAACGCGTAGGCATAATTTGCGTCTGATATAATCTTTACGTGGAAATTCTCAACGACCACAACACAATGGCAATGACATCCTTAAAGATCTAAGACTAACTTTGATCGAAACAAATTTTTTAAGAATCGAAAAAAATTCTTGTCCATTTATTTATATATATATTTCATATTTCCTTAAGAAAAATGTGACGTGAAACTATTTACTTGCTTTTTTTTTTTACCTTCCATTAATTGCTTTTGTTTCAAATAATTTTCCTCGATTTTTCACCGTGAAAGAAAAGTTCTTTAGAAGAATTTCATTGTTCCGCTAATTTGTCCCTTGATTTTATTGATCTTTAATTACTTTCCTAAAATTCCAGGTAGGGTTGCCAGGTCAAAGATTTTACCGTTACTTGGCTGAAACTTTCAGTTTCTCGAAAGCATCCCCAATAATGGCAAGAAAACTCCTCCTTTAAAAGGAAAGCTTCGAAATTCGGATGCGTTCAGTTCTGGTATAAATTCTGAACGTGAACGAAGTCATTTTCCTGCTATTTCTTATATCCGTCGCTGCAACGATGGATATCTTGGAGGATTCTTCATCCTCCAAAAATGAAATTTCTTCGTTGAAAAGTGAGTGTTTTTATCTTTCATATTCGTGAATAATTAAAATTGAATAATTAAAATTTCACGTTCAACGATATTCATACAACCTCTTCTATCTGTTCAATTAATGTGCCTAAAAATATTTAGAGATTTATTTATCGTATGTAATTTATCTATCATATAAATATAATTAAAAAAAATGTAATAAAATTAAAATAAATAATTAAAAAAAATAAAAAGAATTTAAAATATATTTTCAGAGAGTGAGATTAAGGAGATGAACGATGAAAGAGGAATTACAAGGTAAATGATATTTCTTTCTTAACGAGTTCGATTATTTTTAATTGAAATATTTTTCTTTTTCTTTTTCTTTTTTTCTTTTTTTTTTTTTTTTGGAGAGAAAAATTGAGAAACAATCGATATCTTAATCGCTTACCAGGAATTTTTTCCAGTTTCGAAGCGAGGGCAAGAAGAAGACTCAAGAGAAAAGATTAGTAACTTCTTAGTCTCATCCATCATCTACGTCCACAAAAGTTCACGGGATCGAACACGAAGATCAATTCGTATAAATTGCCCTTTGAAGACAGCATGCATCACTTGTACACAGATTATTGACAAAATGTTCGTTCTAGAAATTAAATGTATTAATATTTCTGTAAATTATATTCTTCGAATAAGGTTTCTATAAATATGGTTTTATTAAGTATCGTAGAAAAATAATATTTAAAGCACGATTATTATATAATTTAATTAATAATGTTAAGATGTAAGATAAAAATTGTAATTATTATTCTAGATTTATTTTATGGAGAGATACAAGACTGAATTTAACGTAAGACTAATTATTCCTTATAATTCGAATAATGCGAATTCGTTATTTATTTAGAAATATATGAAACCTTCTTTTCTCCATTAATTTTATTTTATTTTTTTCCCCTTCTCTCACTCTTTCATTCTCGCAAGCAATAAACTTACACACATCGATGCAATAAAAATAAGATTTTTTTCTAGGAAAAAAAGAAATTTGGAATGGAAGAATCGATTAATTATTTAAACGACAGATTTAATATCGAGAATTCCCAATGATCGTTGAATAAAACATGATCGTAAGAAAGTATTAACTTACATCTTTCGATGTTCCT